TATTTCTTTTGTATATGATTGTTTTTTTAATCATATCTCTAAACCAGTTTTTTTTGGATAATTTTCTTTCATGACATTGAGTTTTATTTCAGAAGTTCATTAGTAGCTTAGTAAAACTTTTCATGTTTCAATTTTAGAAGTATTTGCGTGTCATTATTTAACATTTTGTGACATACTTACACAATTCAGCTTATACACATTATACTATGACAATCAAATACCAACGTCAACAAGTGACTATAAATCCTTTTTAATGAATTACTAAACTGTTCATTGAGTTTTAACTAATATCTAACCATTGTAAATTTATAATGATAGTTAACCTTGAATTTCTGTTTTCATTCTAAATAAATTGACTCACTGGAATGAAAACGCAGGTACTTTTACAATTACTTTTATTCAATTAGGCAGATATGGTTTTGGAGATCATTTGACACATCATACGATTGTTTAATAAAAATAGCAATTAATATAATCGATTCACAAATGAAAATAAGAACAAAAGTGTGATACATGGGTAAAGGGAATCAATGGAGTTTGACAGAAGATTCAGCTCACTAAGAAAACATTTATTTTTGGAAAAACAACCCAATAAACAACAATGGTCATAAAAGAGAAATAACTTCCATCGCTTGTAGTGTATAGGCACATCAGCATCATTGCATAAGAAGGCTTTTAGTCATTTAAATAATAAGTCCCCCAATAAAAATCCAACTTCTTATTATAATAAAAGTATTTCAATTTTATTTGTGAAAATACCCTGAATAAAAACGCCCAATAAATTAAACGAAGTGTTTACTTTATTAGAAAATTTGTAGAGACTGCCGAGTTTATAGTTAGTTTTCATCACAAAATGAAACCAAAAGAAAAACCATTAAACATTAAGAAGCACTACTTTATGACTCCTCAGTATTGAAAATTTCTAGGCACTTCATTGCTCAATCCAGGACTATGAATTTTAATCAATTTAGGCACTAGACAGTAAATGCTTTGTTAAAGTACATGGGTTCATTAAGTGTAGCATAAATATTCACTTATCTTAGCTCACTTTATAGTAGAAAACTGAGTAACTATATAATCAATAACTATAATTTAACTATTAAATAGAATTAGTTTCGATGTAAGTCATAGATAAAAAATTATTTATCATTAACTGATAGCTTGTCGTACAAAACAATTTCACCAGTTATTTGGGAGCTACAGTAAACATTTTAATAGAAACATCCTTTGTGGAATATGGCATTGAAAGGTGTGTTGCCTATAAAAAATGTGTTTCCATCCATTTACTTATTTATTCGTAATTAATTTTTTGGTGACTGTGAAATTAAATTTGTTACCTATAGCATGCCGTCAGTTGATATAAAAAATTATTAGCCAGTTACTTGAAAACGACTATATGATTTCTTGGCGTCCAACAACATTGATAACTTGAGTCAAAGATTCAAATTAAAAAGTCATTACGTGGTTTATGCAGTTTATGTTGACAGATATGACACTAATCGGAAGTGGAAACCCTGGCAGCAAAAGGCTAAGAAGATCAAGTTGTAAAGAATAGAAAGGGACATAGAAAGGAATCGTGAATAGGAAGAATCATACAGAATGTGAAGAACAATCGATGGAAATTTGAAAATGAAGTGTTCAATGTATTGCTCCCATATTTTACGAAGATATTCCGTAATTTTGTATTAAAATACATTGGCTGTCCCCACCCGTGTTTTCGTTCACTACAATCACATTGATGACTAGTGAAATGGAAAGTATATCTCTTTAAACCACATATATCTGAGTTAAAATAATATGCCAAGATATTTGAATGGATAAGAGTAGAGGTGAACTGTAAACGTAATACAAATTTCATACGCACAATATTTTATGTCACTGAAAACATTTAGTACGACTTAATCACAAGTAACTAAGTGAAGTAAGTTAGTGAACCGGTACAATTCCTTGCTCATTAACAATTAGTAACCAATTTGTAGACCATCTCCATATTTAGACGACAGAAAAGAAAACGTTTGAAGAAAAGATTATCTATTTCTATATTTTTCTGCAGATTATGGTAAGCCGTTACTGAGAACTGGAAGATATACCGACAAAAATTTATGCTTTGATAAAAACTTAAGTGAAAAACTTAGTGCGTTTCGCAAAGTGGAGTAAGTAATAGTTTTCCTTAACCAAATAACTCAGAACATTGGAAAATGGAGCTTTATCATCGTATTTCTGTTAATTCACACTTGATACTATCTACATTTTAATAACTAGTCGAAACTGGCTATTATTGAAACGTAGAACTTTTCAGGGTTCGATATTAAAATATTTACATATTGGGAATAAGTACGGAGAATTTCTATGTATCCATTGAAGGTGTTTAACAGATGAATGAAATGATTTTAAAAACGATTTCTGAATGGATTAATAAAAAACGCTGAAGTACACCACATGTGAACTATAAGTTTATTCAAAGACTAAGAAAAACTGTATATTCTAAAGTAGACAGCAATGAATTAGTGAACTGTTATGTTTAATATTTACAATATTATAAACGTTTGAGTTGTCATTCTGAAATAACACTGAAAAATTAAGATCATGATCTCACCTTTTTGAGTACGTGCAACACAATTGCTATTAAAATTACGTTAGGTAAAATACACATACTTGTATGAGGGAACACCTTATCATCTAGTTTACAACTTGCACAATACTGTTGTCAAACACAGTAACTAATTAACACGATTAAATACACAGATAACTCTTATTATCACAATTAAATATTAATAAACGGCATTGAATGGATATTGACTTACTTACTTACGCCTGTTACTCCTCGTGAAGGAGCATAGGCCGCTCACCAGCATTCTCCATCCAACCCTGTCCTGGGCAATCCTTTCCAGCTCCTTCCAGTTGTTATTCATCCTTTTCGTATCTGCTTCTATTATCCGACGAAACGTGTTCTTTGGCCTTCCTCCTTTCCGCTTCCCTTCAGGATTCCAGGTTAGGGCTTGCCTCGTGATTTATAATGGACAGTTCTAATATCAAATCGTTATATTGACTTCCATTCAGCACATCCTTTCAGTGCAAAGATCTCGTTAGCCTTGAATCTTTTTAGAAGAGCTAACAAAATCATCACATCAGAGGAAGACAAACTAAAGGACAAATGAATATAGTTAGCATCTTACAATTTAATAAATTTCCTATGAAGATTATTAGAAGCATATTAAAACAAAACAGTTTATTACATTCTAATAATGATTCGAATGAAATGCCATGGATTGGTACTGTAGTTTTACCATACCGTCATGGCAGAACAGTAGAAATCCAAAGAATCTTAAAACATCACAAAATCAAAGTGTATTACAAAACAACGGACACACTACGTAATACTTTAGTTCGCCTGAAAGACAAAATCCCTTTCATGTCCACACAGAACTGCGTCTACAAATTAGGTTGTATCGATTGTGATGCCTATTATATTGGAGAGTGATCCCGCGAAATCTTGACTAGAGCCAAAGAACATATTAGTTACACAAAGAAACCTCCTAACAATCTTGTAGAATTGAACCAACTTCAAATTAAATCGGCAATAGCAGTTCATGCCATTTTCAACAACCACCAAATCGATTTTAAAAATAGCAAAATACTGCAAAAAGGCTTTTCTAACTACAAAGAAAGGAGGGTAGCTGAGGCGTTCCATATAATGCTTAATCCTACTTCTCTCAATAGAAAGGAAGGTCTTACTATACATCCTACTTAGACCATCTATCCTAGCCACTCAGTCTCATCGTATTTACAATTTCACACTATCATATTACAAATTTAAACTCTATCCTTTCTTACCATAAAGGTCACACAAGTTTTCATTCTTAAACAATGCACACTTACATACACACACAAATTTATCACTTATGAATCACCTTGACAGAAATGACATGACATCAACTTGTTCAGACCTGTTTTTTTGATTGATCAAATATTATTCTTGGATTGTTCCGTTGTACTATTTAAACTTGGATTAATTTTAATTTGGTTATTCATTCTCTGAAGAAGTGACTTACACTAAGTCACGAAACGTCAGAAAATCTCATTTTCTACTCATTGGGATATTACAAATATTTTATTTTTATTTTTATTTAGTTCTAATATTGATGAATTCGCAAAATTAAGCAACAACTTTTTATTTGACCACAAAGTGTAATACTCTAGAAAACAAAGACATCTTTTCCAAATGTCAAAGAAGCTCTGCTTTATTAAACATTAATTACAAATCTTACTTATACATAAATGTTCTTTTCTTCTTTCTCGTAATTTATTATTCATTTTCAATAGTGTAAACTGTCATTCATTCACTATTGTTTGACTCATTAAGTTTGGCATGAATTAGATATACCTTTTACGTAATCTAATAACAGTGATTTATTCATAAGTCTAAATAAATATAACAAGCTTAAAGGATACATTTAAATAATTCATTGAAATACCGAAATGGAAATCAATTTCGCTCTTTATACACTAGAAGTTTTATTATCTCTTATCACGAGAATTGACGACTTCAATCTACGTAACTGGACAAATTACATTCCATTTCCATGTGGTCGTTAAGACAATTCATTTCACTTATTTTCTTTTATATCGATATCTATTCGCATCCAGCACTAATCATGTGGCGCTTGAATAGAATTGATGTGGTATTTTTTTCCCGTAAGCAACAATTTTATGTTACACTTTGACACAACCATCTGGATTGCTTCGTTAAAATAAAATAAATAAAAATGCAAATTCTGACATCTAATCAAACCAGTTTATGCTACTTTGGTTTGAACTAATCAGGTTACAATAATGCACAATTTACAGTCAATTATCAAATTAGTAAAGGAAACTATAAATTTGCTCCTAAACACATGAGCACACATTTAAAAAGACATGTTAACCAATCACTTATTTTTAAATACTTCTAATCCTACCCCCAAATTTTCATCAATAGGGGCCAGAAATTTCAACAACCGATGGATAAATATCAGCCATACGGGGTAGGTCAAATAAATTATTCACAAACTACTTCATTTCATTGAGTTTCCAATAAAATTCTCTGATACTACGTTAGACTCTTTAATGTGAACAAATTGGGTAATTTTGCAAGCAATGCTAAATGTCTTGTGGTTTTGAAAATATTTCAGTTTTGAAATTACTGTTTAATTAGTTCTCTTGAATTTGATTAACTTCCTTATATGTGATTATAAGCAAACCAGGATGATAATGAAATAGCAGCACTCTAATAATTTGAAAAATGTTATTTACGCTTTGTTTGGAACTTGCTCTACTTTGTTTCTAGAATGACATTTATTACAAGACGGGATGATAAATCTCTGTAACTAAAAAGCTTAGATTAAGATTAATAGGTTAAATTTGTTGAAAATGGAGGGACTACAAGTTATGGACGAACCAATCAGATTTAAGACGACGGGTCTAGGATTTTAGCGCGAAATTCATTCACTCATTTGACTAAATATTATTTTGACATCATAGCTAATATCAGTTCGTGATGAAAACACTAAATCTACTCCGTAACCCTAATCACCAACTGGAAATCATAATTATAATTCTTCACACTGTTTTATAACCCTCATTTAGTCCTACTTAGTAGGTGGACATTTTCAAGGTCATTTAAGCGTTACTCTAAGATCGTCCATAAATTATAGTATCACCTAAACAACTAAAATTCCGAAATGTATCATCTCCAATATTCTATATATGTTATACACCATATTGCTTGTTTTATATACAAAGCATCGTAAACTTTAATTATTCGCAGTCCTGGTAATTTCTTAATAGTTTCAGTAAAACTAAAAATCAGTGTAGTCCAAAATAGTTGTCGGCGATAGTTTGTTTTAGAAAGTAGGAGAAATGTTTCTTTAGTTCTACCACTGAACTATCCGCTTCTTATTACATATATTCTAATTTAAATTCATGTTACCAGTTGTAATTGAATTTTGTATCCACAGTTCTAAAAGTTCAATCGCTACCCAAACTCATTAATTCGTGAGGGTTCAGTAGTTAAGAATTTTACAATGATCTGAGAAGGGCTACATTTTATTAAAAGAAGCCCTAGACAACGAGGGATATCGTCTATGTCATTAAACAAAATAAACACAATTGGTTGAAGACTTCCCAAGAAAAGTAGGTTTTGTTTGCCAAGCCATCTTCATTCTGTTTGAAACCATTTAGTTCTCGTTCTTATATGATAAGTTATGTCATAGAGACGGTAACCATATCTAAATTATCAATCCAAAGTATTCTTTCCCATACATCTACAATAAAGAAGATTCAGTGTAGCCACATTAATCCACAACTTAAAGTGACATTTCAACTAAGGACAGGAATCTAAATACATTCTCTCTAGCTTTTAGTGTCTTTAGAGTTGTCAATTGTATTAATAAACACTATTATTTGTTTTGTTAACAACCATGTATGGTTAAAGCACTTTGACTTCACGCCTGTTTTCCCGTGAATTGAATGGACAAAAAAACATTTTCAAGTGATTTTATTTTTATTTAACAAGAGTTTCATGATTCTTGAATTACAGAAATCTTCGTTATACTAAACGTGAAACTCAAAATAATGTTTCGATATATAGTACTAGACTATTCTGCTGTACAATAGTTCTTGACAGATTCTCTTCATTTTCCCATCAATATCCATTTTTATCATTTATTCTGCAGTAGTTTGTTCCATCGGTCAAAATTTTGTTAAATAGCCAACCAGTTTAATTTTCAGTGAGCATATCTTGAATAGTGTTACATTCATTGAGAACTTTTCAAAACCAGATTTTTTCCAAGTTTCATCAGATAAATGTCTGCAGTGAGTGACAATGTATTTGATCAGTTAATCAACAACCTTTCTTTCGGTGTCTGGTGTGCTAGGTTTGATGATACCAATGTCAATCAATATGTCTCAAAAATCGGTCAAATGACTACAAAAGGTTTTATTCAAAATCAAAGTTACTTATCCACATACTGACTCCAGACATTCAAATACAAATATTAAAACTGTAGTACACATGACCGAAGTTTTTGTAATGGTTACATTCCATACTTTCTAGATTGCATCAATAAGAAAGTCGTCACCAAAGGATAGGACGAGAGGCTAGTGGAGTTGTGTTAGATCAGTATCAAATTTTAGCCAATCTAATGTTTAGGACCAAAGCAATGTTTCTGCATTTGCCTGATTATGAGTTACATTGGAGTTAAGCTTGATAACATGATAGAAACGCAAAAATAATTAGGTTTGCAAAACGGTCACCTTTTTTCACTATGATTACTTCCAGTAAATCAACAAAATGTTAACAAACCGATACAATAAATTTAATGGCTTTTATTCAGTTTGAGATAGTATTCTTAAGATGTTTCTTTGTATCTCAACTGATCAAATATGTTCTCTCGAATAAATTTTAGACACAGTACTTAGTATATTCGCGGAATGTTGTTCATAATTTAGTAACACCTTTTTTTAAACCGCATAACAAAAAACTCCCATACTAGGACGAAACGCCCGTGTAGTACTTCTAGGTTTACAATTGTGATTTAACATTGATTGGTTCATGAGTTTGATTAAATTCGACCATCTCCACAACCCGGAACTTAAATAATATGTAGTCATTTTACTGAAAAAGAAACAATGATTTATTTTGACTGAACTGTAAAGACTTTAGTGTGCTTTATATTTTAATTGTTTGGCTGTTCAGTTGGTCACTGATTTTTTTTAGTATAACAATTATTTGGGGAATGTTCAATGCATTGAACTGTCTACTTATTTTAAATACGCAACAGTAACCATAGATTATTATTATTAGCTTGATCTGTTCTGTCATCAGGTCTGCCAATTACAGGAACGACAGTATTCATCTTATCAATACTTTGATGTTGGTAAAACGTTTGTCAGAACGTTTCTCGTGAAAACAGAATTAACGAATCAGAAGTATGGCGTAGGTTACTTAAATATTATAGGCTATTGTGATTCATACAAGGATTGGTAATACAGTAGAAATCTCTATATAAAATCAGTAGCAAATTTGGCTTTTAAACTGTTTTACAACTTAAATGATAAATCATCTTTCCCCCCCCAAAAAAAAATGATTTGTCGTCTCAGAAAATGCTCTTTCTATCTCAAGTCATTTTTTTATGTTATAGTAATGATCTTATTAATAACATGGAGTTATTATTATTTGATTAGTACTGATGTTAATGAAAATCATTCAAGATCCTCAATGGTTATAGGTAACTTCATGGTAAGAGATGACAACTACTGAATTCACTTGTACTTAAGCTGATAAAAAAATAAAAACTACAAAATTCGTTTAAATGACTCTTTATACTGATGAAATAAAGACAATAATGCCTGCTTAAACTATTGAATCCCCCTTTTTTTTAAAACGTACATTTATTGTCATAAATTTTCCTGTTTAAGATTTGTTTTAATTAAATGGTTATGTCTTCTGTATGTAATTATGTGTGATCATAAAATGTTTATAACCTAGTATGAACTCAGTTACTAAACGGCCCATACATTACCATCACTATGGTCCATATATTTTCATAATCCTCAATCCTGTCGAGAAATGAGAAGCTATTACTATGAAATTCTTACATCAAATTTATAGAGTTAAAAAGAGTCATCATAAGAGTAAATATGTATTGTTGAACTTGAATACTTGTCCATCACCATCCAAAGACTTTAACACATATTTTTAGCTACTGAGCTGATTGTTTATTTTTTGTTAATTACTACCATCAATTTTAATAACATAACAATAGTTAGTTAAATTTTGCAACATGAAAGTATCTATCTTCAACTATTTAGCCATTCAGAAATGTTAAACATTCGAACGCTTTTTAACCCGTGTTTCATTGACGAAACACTGTTATGACATTACACATAAAACCATTGATATATATATATATATATATATATATATATATATATATATATATATATATATATATATATATTGGATTGTATATTTCCTTTTCTCTTAACTTTTAGGATGACAAGATACACATTTCTATTTTGATTGATAGTGAACGGGGTCTTTTATACATGGATAGTCTTCTGAAATCCCTTTTTTATTATCAGAAACGATTTCATTTTGACTTTAAACATTGTTGTATATCTGATCTCTGTGATAAAATCAGCGATGATTCCTCAAATTATAAAGATAGAATGTTATATATTTATCCAACTGTATTTCATATTTTAACAAATAATAAGTCCAGCAGTTATTTGATCCATTTTCTAAATATGTGGAAATTGCATAATGTGGAGTATTATTCTTATGAATACAACACGTATTTGGTAAGTCTGTTTTCTGACAGACATCATATAATTTCTTATAAATTGCTTCATTGAGGATAAAGCATAGTTTATATAAACCTTTTTTTGGATGAAGCTATAAGTCAATTCATTAAATATTCCTCAAAATTAAATTTCAAATCTAAAGGATCTACAGTTGTCTTGCTTTCTAAATTACCATCCAAATATGAAAAGGGTACTAAGAGCTGGTTTTCCAAGACTATTAGGTTTATTCAAAGATTAACATAACACTCATATTTTTAACTTGGTAACATTTAAAAAGTTGTTTGTGAAAAATACTTAAATAAATATAACTCACTGCTAAGAAGTCCCACACTAGGACGAAACGGCCGTCCTGTGCTTCCAGGTTTTCCATGTTGGTCTAGCTTCAATTGACTTATGAATCCAACTAATAAATTACTATAATATCCACAAAACTCCGTTTTTTGACAACTTTTAATAATTCTTCATCTTATTCTGCTGTTACGATGAAAAATAACTAGTTGAAACAAATATTAAATATTAAAGTACCCATTCGAATACAAATACCAAAACCCTGCATTCTAACGAAGCTAGACTAAACTCACTTTCTGCTTTCTTAGGTTATAGGAACTAATATGTCAGCAATAAACCATGTTGTAAAGTGATCCAATAAGATACATATTAGATTATTCTGTTTATCAATAACACTAAGTTAAACCTTTCGCTTGAACCATCTACCACCAGTAACCTAGAAGTCGGAGTTTTTATGAGACTGTAAAAGATGAATGTCATCCACTTTTGCCTTACTATCAAAAAGGACGGATAGTACTACCATTTGTAAACTTTTCTGTAATATCCATGCACTGAACACTATACTCACTTCACTACCCCAGTTTCTCTTCGACGAGAAACGAATAAAATCTAATCACTGATGTTCCAACACAAACTTATCATTAAAAACATGAATCGTTTTTTGTCACAAGAAAGCACACTAATCACAGCTCCAAATGCTTAATAAACAGATCGGGAATTCTCAGTAGCTACACAGATATGCACATTTTCTACAAATTCCCTATCTGTTATTTTCGTTTATTCTAAGATGACCGAGAAACTGTTTTTGTCTCATTAAACTGCCAAATATTCGTTTATGCACATCTGTGAGTCCTTTGAGTCATTGAAACTCAATCATCCCATCACCTTTGAGTTTATTTTCATATTTGGTGCCATCATCTAGAATTTAAAACTGTGATGTTTACTGTCATCCTGTCATGAAAAGATACATTATTTGATTGTGTTTATCAGGTTATTCTTGCACACAACTAAAAATGAGAATCAAACTGATTATTCTGATCGTATTAAATCCTCGGAAGATAATCAAGTTCAAGCATACTGATGTCATTCCTGCCAAGTGGCTCTTCATGATACATGTTTAAAGTGTATATGGGTATATGTGGGTAAATTGCAATGAGATAATTTATTCCCTTTTGAACTTTCAGCTTCATTATTGAAATAACAGTCGATAAAGTAAGATCATTTGGTTCTTCTATTCTAAAAATAATGATGTTAGCGATAACAAAGAAAAGAATTAAATCCCTTTTTATTGATGAACGCTTATGACAACTCAACTCTCTTTTCAAATATAATAGAAAATTGAACTTTAGCAACTTCTTAAAGAATTCCAGTAGTGCAAGTGATTCTCATTTGTGTTTAACGAATTAAACATTAAATTCATAACCCATACTAAAACACAAAGACATTCCATGGAAGAGAATTTTCTTTGAGCACTTTATAAATGACCATAGAATTTGCTTAAAGGTTAAAATAAGAAAAATTGGTTCAGTGAAGACTTCTATTTTCGGCGACTTCATTTTCAAAGCTGTACAATCGCAAATATATATGCTTATTTTTTTTCAGGATGATAATAATCAAAATAATAAGGATAATAAACTTCTGTTAGACGTGGTGACAGTGAGATAGAATAAACAAAGGTATTAAAAAAAACACTTTTAGCAGGGAAGCTAATTATCGTTTGATTGTTAATTGTCCTCAAACGATAGATAGGGAAATTATTATTGGGAAAGGATGTTTCAGCATGATAAGATAAAATGTTTCTGATTCTTTAAAAAGAACGTTTTATCAACCAAGTTGCGAATAGTACTCTTCAGCTGATCATTGTTCACCAATAATCTTAAGAATAAATTATCTCATCGGACCAGCTCAATGTGCATTTACCAATTTGCCTGCTCATGTGGAGCCAATTATCTAGGTCGTTTGATGCGTACTTTATCCAAAAGAATTCAAGAACATTATCCAGCGTGGCTAAGAAGAAGAGGAAAAGGCTCAGTAAGAAGTTCAATAATCGAACACCTTGTGAACACAAGTCACTTAATCAAGACAGACTATACGTTCAAAGCCATCTACAATGTAAGAAGAATTCTTCCAAAGACAATTATGTTGCATCTTCTTAGCATTACCAAAGCAATAGCCATACATCTGGAAAAACCAGAATTGTTTATCCAAAAGAGATTGGTACAACCTCTGCTTCTATCCTGGACTTAATGTCTTATAACTTTTTTTTCCATACTCTTCTTCCTTTATAGCCACCTGCTTCCCCTTCCATGTCCTTTAACCCTCTACCCCCCCAACTGGTTTATTTCTGGTTCTACGATCCTCCTGGTTACATTTAATCTCAATTTCAACATTTTATCTTATCATGCTGAGCCATCGTTTCTCAATGATAACCTCCCTATCTACCTTCTGATGAATACTTAAGCCATTAACAATCAAAAGATAAGAGTATTCTTTCGAACAAAGAATACTCTAAGATCAAAACTAGTAAGAATCAATGATCCGATACACAAGGAAGAACAACAGAATTGTGTTTGTGAAACCAAATGTAATGACTGTAATGCAACGTACCTAAGTGAAACATCAAGGTAACTGAATGTGAGGGTGAAGGAACACAAACTATGGTTAAAACACATTCCTATATCTTCAGTTGAGGTAAGAAAACTCAAGAACGAATCAGCGATAGCATTACACTCGATAGAACCAGGTCATACAACTGATTTCAATGGCACAAGAATCCTTCAAAAAGGCCGAGGCCCTACATATAAGGGCTAATCCGAACAGTATTGATAGGAGAGATGGAATACAACTAGCTGATCCATGGCAACTAATAATTAATAAGTAAACCTGAACTTCTTATTCCATTCTATCTATATCGTATTGAACTAATTAACAGATGTTGCTTTCAAAGATTCAAATAAGTTATCTTATCTAAATATGTTAAACAATTGACTGGAACATTAAAGCAACACAAACTTTCAATTACAAATTCTTCCTCTTTGAATTCAGTCTTCTATCGTGTTTATTTATCTTCATTTAATCCATGCTGTGACATTTTTGATTCATATCGTATATAAAAAATTATGTTTTCTTAATATTCACCGACCGAAGACAATATATAGTGAATGAAATTTTTTCTTCTAACTTACGTATACACACAATCTGTTATCATAACACTTTTCGTTTTCACACCACATGTCTTGTACACACTAATGTATATACCTACTTTAAACATTCTTAACGTTGATTGGATGACTTATTCAGTATACAGTAAACCGGAGAACCATGTACCTATTTATACACGATAATTTTGATGTTTGATTATATTTCCTTGAAAAAGCTTGGACTAGATTGCCAGGCGAAACGTTGGATTTACTTCAAATTCGTTCGCTGAGATTTTACAAATACATTCCTCCTGTTTAATGTCGCAAATTAACTCAGCGCCCAAATGCTATGAAACTATTCGATCAAATTTAGACGAAAGTTCTCATTTATTGATCATTAGTTTCTCTGTTTAAAAAACGCAGAAGAAAATATATGAACCTACATATTTTAGTAGATTAGATTCCATCTTAAAAATAATAACAAAACAGGAGTCTAATATTTCGTGTTTATAAAATTATATTTTTCACTATTAATCTCCCATACTTTTCATACATTCTAGTTAGTCTGGCAATTAACTCAGTTTATGTTATCCACAAATATAAACTGTACTAACTACTGAGTCATGGTATATCTTCCATTTCTGATAATGATTTCAATGGAGTACTCGAAAAATTTACTGTATTTGAATTCATATTTTACTATGACTGAATAAATTTTAAGTTGTTATTTATATAGTAATAGAAAAGTTCACCAATCATTGGAACATTTGGAATAGGGTAATCCCATAACTACAAGCTAAATAATAAGTAGTCGGTATCCTATTATTTACGTATTAAACAAAGATGATTTGAGATTATTCTCTTACAGTTGTTAGTTAAATGACGAGATATCTGTCTAAAATACAATATACTTTACTTACTGTTTACTTACGCCTGTTACTCCTCGTGAAGGAGCATAGGCCGCTCACCAGCATTCTCCATCCAACCCTGTCCTGGGCAATCTTTCCAGCTCCTTCCAGTTCCTATTCATCCTTTTCATATCTGCTTCTATTATCCGACGTAATGTGTTCTTTGGCTTTCCTCTTTTCCGCTTCCCTTCAGGATTCCAGGTTAGGGCTTGCCTCGTGATGCAGTTTGACGATTTGCGTAATGTATGTCCTATCCATTTCCATTGTCTTTTCCTAATTTCTTCTTCAACTGGAAGCTGGTTTGTTCTCTCCCACAGAAGGCTATTGTTGATGGTATCCGGACAATGGATGTTGAATATCTTGCGAAGACAGCTATTTGTAAATACTTGTACCTTCTTGATGGTGGTTGTTGTAGTTCTCCAAGTTTCAGCTCCATACAGTAGAACTGCCTTGACGTTGGTATTGAAGATTCTCACTTTGATATTGGTTGAAAGTTGTTTTGAGTTCCATATGTTTTTCAACTGTAGGAATGAGACACTTGCTTTGCCAATCCTCGCCTTTACGTCTGCATCTGAGCCTACTTGTTCATCGATGATGCTTCCCAGGTATGTGAAGGATTCTACATTTTCCAGAGTTTTGCCATCAAGAGTGATTGTATTGCTGTTCTCCGCTTTGAATTTGAGGACCTTGGTTTTCCACATGTGTATGTTGAGGCCTACTGATGCAGAGACTGCTGCTACACTGGCTGTCTTTGTCTGCATCTGTTCGTGTGTATGCGATAGAAGGGCTAGGTCATCAGCGAAGTCCAAATCGTATAATTGATTTCGAGCTGTCCATTGTATTCCGTGTTTTCCTCCAGATGTCGAGGTCCTCATAATCCAGTCGACTACCAAAAGAAAGAGGAAGGGAGAGAGTAAACAGCCTTTTCTGACTCCGGTCTTTACTTGGAATGAATCTTTCAGATGTCCTCCATGCATGACTTTGCATTGTAGTCCGTCGTATGAGTTCCGGATAATATTGACAATCTTCTCAGGAACTCCGTAGTGTCGAAGAAGTTTCCATAATGTCCTCCTATCTACACTGTCGAATGCTTTTTTATAATCAATGAAGTTGATGTATAGTGACGAGTTCCACTCAACTGATTGTTCGACGATGATCCGTAGTATTGCAATTTGGTCTGTGCATGATCGATCCTTACGGAATCCAGCTTGTTGATCTCGAAGTTGGGCGTCTACTTCATCTTTCATCCGGTTCAGCAACACTCTGTTGAAGACCTTCCCCGGTATTGACAGTAGTGTAATCCCTCTGTAGTTCTCACTTTTGCTCAAATCACCCATCTGTTCCGCTGTTGTTGAATTTCAGTAATTGGCTTGCCTTCTTTGCCTTTGACCGATTTCTCTGGTTTACTGTATTTTCCTGATAGTTTCTTCGTCGTATCGTAAAGCTGTTTCATATTTCCTTCTATAGCAACATTTTCCGCCGTCTTTGCTAGTTCTTCCACGTATTTCTTCTTGTCGGCTCTAATGCTCCTCTTCACTTGCTTGTTTGCTTCTGTGTATTCAGCTTGTGCTTGGACTTTCTCTGTTCGTGTTCGGCTGTTGTAAATTGCTGCCTTCTTGTTCTTCCTTTCTTTGATCTTGTCTAGAATTTTGATAGAGATCCACTCCTTATGATGTTGTTTCTTTAGGCCCAGAACCTCTTGACACGTTGAAGTTAATGCTTCTTTGATACCTTTCCCGTTGTAATCCATAGTAGTTTCTTCTTCCTTCAGTAGATCTTGTAAGGCTTGGAACCTGTTGTTGAGAGCTATATTGAATTCATTGAGTTTGTCAGTATCTCGAAGGACGTTACATGTACCTATAAAAATGTTTGCTCTGGTTGTTAGAAGGGGCATCGGCCTCGTGGCTTCCGAAGGAACTCGGCTTTCACCATGAAGTTTCATAATTCTTCTAAATGAAGACCTTCTAACTCCCAGGGTAGAGTTAAAATGGTTTGAATTATTTTTTCTGATAAGCGTTTTTTAGAGAGTTAGTTTTCTACGGGATGGGGACGCTAACCCCATGCCCAACCCTCCTCCTTTACCCGGACTTGGGACCGGCAGTAACTCTAGAAGACCTACAGGCGGAGTTTTAAAAAAAGCACCAGCCTTCTTGTGGCGTCCGGAACGCTCCTGTCTGCCCTTGAAAATCCGAGCGAGGCAGTATAATTTTCGTGGCAGGCCGTACCCATATCCGCAGTAGGTCTCCGAGGTGAACAGCCTCTGGCAGTTGAACAATGTAGGTAAGGGAAGTCGGCAAATTGGATCCGTAACTTTGGGGGAAGGATTGGCTCTGGGGGCCGAGATCAGATACGTGTCGGTCCAGTTGAGGGCTGGTTTCTGTTCTGTTCTGCTTTGTGTTCTTCGGTGCGCTTTGTGGTGAGGTTACTAGACTCTGACCCTGGTCGATCGTGGGCGGTTTCAGCTGTTAGTGTCGTGCAGCTAGCAACGCGCGAGGACTTGTTCCACGTTGCGTCAAGCGGCTGTACTTCCATGGTCTGGCACGTGACGGCTAACTCAGAACTGGCACGGATTAGGGGAATCCGACCGTCTAATTAAAACAAAGCATTGCGATGTCCACTGATTGATTTTGACGCAATGTGATTTCTGCCCAGTGCTCTGAATGTCAAAATACAATATATCTTACTAAAATATCATACTATACAGTACCCGGTTACGGAAACACTTAAGTTAATAAACCACAATCGAAAGATCTCCATCATAATACCATTTCTTTTGGGAATTTTTGTAGTTGTTATTAAAGTATCAGAGTTCAAAACCATACTTGATATATATATATATATATATATATATATATATATATATATATATATATATATATATATATATATATATATATATATATATATATATATATATAAGACATTAAGTCCATGGTAGAAGAAGAGGACAGACAATTCTGGTTTGCCCAGATGTATAGCTAATGCTTCGGCAATACAAAGAAGATGCCTACTAGTGTGAATTGATTTTCGTTCTCACGTACATACGACAATTTGTTCATTGTGTTAATATAACATCAGATAAAATGACTGCATATATTCACGTGAAAATGAATGTTTTATATTGGACTACCATCGCTTCATCAATACTTCGTTCAATTTTGCTCAAATTACCAGATGGGACTAAATCAATAACTTTATCGTGTTCATAAATGTGCGTTGATCCTTCTTTAGGTGGACAATCTTTTTTAGAATAAGTAAACATATTTTCCTCTCAGTTATCATTTTTCCTTTATAACATTACATCATTTCAAGCTTATTTTCCATTTAGAGAAAATTCCAGTAATATAGCTTGAATGCGATTAATGTCATTTGTTTTTTGTATGATGTGTAATACTTTTATAGGACAGACTTCAATGGATCGTATCTAAACATCCTTCAGGTGCGAAGCCATTTGTAAAACTATTACTCCCGGAGATTCTCCCATCTTCTGTAAACAAAGTATGTCACCGTTTGCTTTATGATACAATATTGTGACAGAACTAATTGGTACTTTTTTGTTGTTAGTCGTGCAGTTATATGATTCGCGAAAAAGCGACAGAATAGCATCCTTTATTAGTCTATCTTGAAGGTTCACCAGATAAAATTTCTTTGAAACAACGGCCATATTATTTCTTTAAAAATAAAAAGATGTTTATGTCTCGATGAAACGGAAACATGTGTGGTATACTTATTCTGCTAAAATTACTGTAATCTTGTACTTTCAGTCTTTGTAAACTTGGTTTAAAGAGTATAAATATTTTTATTGTTATTCTGGTAGAAATGATTTTTCTTATGACCTTGATCTTTGTAAATAATCACGAAATTCACAGAATAATTTCTAAGGCATCATCCGGAGAAGATCCTGTCGAATAATAGAAACATTCTCAACACAATGTACGAAATAAAACAAAGATTACTACACGATGTCATGGTTTACAGCGTGAACTTTACTGAAAATAATCTACGAAAATTTTAGAGTACTGTGATATCAGCCTTTAGCAGCTAGTATTTATGAAAACTAAGATTTCATATAATAATTCGGATTTCCCGGTAATGCTGTTCGATATAACAAATAGTAACAGACTAATTTAAGACATCGTAACTCCGAAATGAGCTATGAGAAAACGTTTGAGTAGCCGTACAAACTAATTCTTAGACCCAAGATATTCCCCGATTAATTTATTATCACCATCTATGTGTTTAAATTGCGAATGATTGACAAAAACTATAATAAAAACAAATTTCTGCAGTTAATGATTAACACACTTTCCTATGATTGACTGTATGTCTTTGGAAGCCTAAGCAACTATTCTACTGTAAATTTCATCAAATATTTTCAGGATCTTGTTATAAACTGTAGACTATCTTTGGCTACAGCTTGAAGATATTATTTGTTTAGTATATCTCAAAAGTTTGATCAGTAAAATGGACCAATATGACGATTCTGTAGTGTATTTTTTAAAAATTCACACGAAAGAGTTAACCCAAGGGAATACTATGTGTACAATAAAATTAAACTAAATCTTTTCAAACTATATAATAAACACATTAGAGAAACTGGATGAAACTGAATTAAAAAATATTATGCAGTGTTTTTACACATTTTTACGGAGCTGGTTTGGGTAACGTAACTACACACGGTTTGTTTTAATAAAATCTGAGTACTTTGTCTATAGATTTTAGTGATAGTTGATGTTAAGTTTTACTTTGTAAACCTGTCTGATCTATAAGCAAAGAAGGGTAGTAGCTAGCAGTGGAATCCAGGACGCGCGTTTCGTCCTATTTGGGACTCGTCAGCTGGATGTACCTGCATCCCAGAATTGATGTTCACTCTGGGACTCAAACCCAGTACCATGGATAACGCGTTGGCGTTTGAAGCGGGTGGTATTGGGTTTGAGTCCCAGAGTGAACATCAATTCTGAGATGCAAGTACATCCAGCTGACGAGTCCCAAATAGGATGAAACGCGCGTCCTGGATTCCACTGCTAGCTACTACCCGTCTTTGCTTATAATGCTTGTAAATTAAGGCAATATCAAGGCATACGCACAGTATGCACATATGCCAACAACAGACTGATCAACTGCAGGCTTAAACTTCAATGGGAAGATACAAGTAAAAAATAGCAAGTGAACTGTTTGATCTATATTGTATATTTTCGGGATATATAATATTTTTATAGACATGACCATCACAAAAAATATAAGCATATGATTCCCATATTGTATTTAGCAGAATTCAATATGAGAATTTATATTGGTTTACATGAGTGACAGTCAACACTTCACCTACATTTTCATTTATGCCATTTTATATTCATTCTACTTCAAATCAGAAAAGATATTTATCAACTGTCCACATAGACTTATCACAGAAGTTTAACGAATTGACTGTCAGGGAGAAGTCAATGGCAATGTAGTTCAACATCATAATTATCAAGTAAGAAAATACTTTTTTTATCCTATTGAATGGCTAAAGATAAACATCAGAAATCTTTGGGATTAGATAGCATAGCTGTTGTTATGATAATAGAAGGACATAAGCTATAGAATTTCGCAGATGATAACGGAATTAAAATTTTCTGTAACCCTTCTAGAGAATAAGATGCAAACTGAATATCGACTAGAAGATAGCAACTACTGTGTCTGATACTTGTTAAGTGATTTCTGAGTCACAAGACAGAGGAAAATTTGAAAATTCTTAGTAATGATGAATGACAAATATTTTTAAATTTTAATTGGTCAGCAATTAGCACGACGATTGATTCCCTTAAATGTTCATGCTGAGAGCTACCTGATCATGTTATAACAGGATATTGAAGTGTTTAATAACCATCATCTTTTGCGATAATTCTGATTTATGTTCCAGGTCATTGTACTTGATCTCGATATGATTCTTAACACTAACATTGTTGAACTGTGGAATCACTTTGAGAAATTTGAAGAAACCCAGGTTAGTTAGTTCTTAATTTCAAATTTCTGATCCACATATATTTAGTTACTTTATTTTAAGACATATTTTTTGTATGAACTGTAAACTAATTATAGTTTAACTCGACCGCATCTAATATATTCAGACGTGAATTTATCACTCGATTGTTTTTCAAATTATTCTCATCTTAGATTAATAGAATGTAGCAAAATATACAGAAATTCACTATTCTCATTAATAGTATTACTATTTCGGATATTTCAATATTTTACCCTATAGCGATTGATTTTAATCCATTTATCAACGGATGTTTAATCTTGTGAATTTAATTTCGATGAAGCAAAATATTACTGAAAAGCATTTGACTTTGATTGCCATTAGGTTGTCTTCGATCATTTTTTTTCTTTCAAATTATCTGGCATGTTAAATTATCTCAAATCCAGTACTAGCGATTCATTTAACCCCAATACATAACTTTTTACTACAAACTACCAATACTTATCAACCTGTACAACAATACCATACCAATTGTATTTCTATTCCTTTTTAAAAAATTTTACTCAGCTAAATAAACCATTTAGTCGTTGAAATATTAAAGTATAATTTGAAAGAAAGCAGATAAACTGTTACTTTGGAAACTAGTTGAATGAAATGAATACAGTTTGTAAATCCTCCAAGTAGTGTACAGAAATATTGATCAGTGGGTCGGAATGTAATCAGTGAGCCAATAAACAACATGTTAATGATACTTCCATAAATATCACTGGTGAATAATAACTACGCTCATTCATTACCCATTAGAAGACTAAGTATAACTATAGATATTACAGCACCATTTTATTTAACATTCAATTAATAGCGAGTAAGCTGATGTGATTACGAAATAAATTTTTTTAGAAAAATGTATGTTGTCAATGTATACAATCCACAGGAGTAACAAATAGAATGAAATATCGATTACAAACCCCAATAAAAGCGAGCATGTCCAAGATCTAGGGTGAGAAAGTGATGTGGTGATGAATGAACTGATTAGGAAAAATCGGACGTCAGAAACTGGCAGATTCATAAGTGTATATAAGATTAATACTATTTTGATTGACAAAGTTTTGATTGAATACTGCTTCTATTGAATTAAATAAATCATCAAGAGCAATGTTTATTGTTATTCACACTGAATAGTGCAACTTTACTGCAGCTGAAAAAAGACATATTACTCATGAAAATGCTGTGTTTAGTTTCATTTTCGATGTTATAAGCATTCTAAACAATGACTGAATATTAAACGATGACCTGAATTGATAAGCATAGACTACGTAGGTATTATTACTTGGAAAAATAACAAGATAGAGTACTAAAAGTCAGACAAAAATGACTTCTTTAACTAATGAAATGTTTTGTGAAGTATCTTTCTTACTCAGAACATGTGGATTCAATTTTCACATTCCAACGATTCATAAATACAAATAAGATTAAAGCCCAATATAAATATTGTAGTAAACACTGCACATACTACTGACAAGATACATATATCCTATAAAATCTCAGTCGTAATAATCCTTCTACTCAATACACTTTTAAGAAACTTTTGAAAAATTGAATTATCATCAATATTGTTATTTCACTCAAACTTTAATATGAAACTATATCGGTCTAAATATAAGTGTAGTACTGAAAAACGAACATCTTAGTCGTAAATTGACGTTAATTTTCCGAATGTCTTACGCACACTTTAAATTCATGATATGATGAGGTTAAAAAGTGAAATTGGATTATTTTGCTCCTTGTGACATCATGTTCAATATTACTTCCGTTTATTTCTTTAATTCAATACGTTAATTAATCGGAGTAATATTTGTTTCTGTTTTCCAATGTGATATTTTATTCGATGTAACATTAATTTATTTCACTATCATGTTTATGCAAGATACAATATTCTTATATTAAATTAACATAACCTTTGCTCAGTATGATATGCAGCATATGATTTGTTATAACTCGAGATTTTCTCATCCATGTGATTTTATTCGAATTAATAGACAGTATGGGTGTACAATCAATATATAAATGAGTGTAGTTTCGACTAGGCTCATAGTCGTGTTCTAGGGTTAATGAATCTTCACTTATATCATTCATGGTGTCGTTACTTCTCGTCGTGGGAATTGTAGTAGTTTCTTGTTGCTCTTTTCAAGTATAAGTAATAAGCGTCAGCGTAATTAATAGTTGGTTTATCATAATTAATATAATTTATCTTCACAATTGATCGATCACTGGCTGGTGATCAATGTCATGTATGTCAGGTTCTTCTTATTGCAGATTGAATACTATCGACCAAGTTGCAATGTGGCCACCAGTCTAGGTGACTCAACATTGCGTGTACCATGTTGAAATAAGACGGTGGTTGGAGGTAGTCAATAGGAAACCCTGAACCTAGGTTTCGTGTTACTTTGCCGAGACAATTCGAACTGCACTAATAAGGACCTGACATACATGACATTGATCGCCACCCGGTAATCAATCAATTGTAAATTTATCTCAGTCCTACAAGAAGTTAGTCACAGCCCGGATAGGTCAGTGGTAATGTCTCTGACTGTGGAGTTGGGTAACATAGGATCGAATCCGTCAGGGAGTACCAGTTTCCTCAGGATTACAGGTACACCTCGCTGACGAGTACCAAGTAGTACGAATCCTAGGTCCAGGGTTTCCTGTTGACTACCTCCAACCACCATCTTTTAATTTATCACCGTTATAAATTTTATAGTCAAACGGCGAAGTCAGTAAAATAATATGGATATTAAGTGTTATTGCGTAACTTTTATCGCCCTCTTCTATTGTTTTAGAAACTTGTCTCCATGTGTTTCCAGAAGTTCCCTATTAGAATTTTCACTTTAATTCACATATAATTGTTCAACTAGTGGAATATCTATAGAATTCACCCATATTTATTATCTTTTTATAAATTTTCACTAGTAGATTATAATGTATGAATACTGCCTTTAAGTCATCATTACTATTGTATCTACATTGTACACAAGTGAAGAGAATTCACTAAAAAAATGAATTCATTATTTTTGATGTACTCAAATTTCTTCTATATTTTGATCATATTTGGTATATCATATTTTGTGTTTACTTGTTTCTTTCCTAAAGATGATAGGCATTGGGTTGGAACAAAATCCGTATTTTCAAGAAGTTATGAAAAATTTAATTAGTGACTGGGAAGCAAGTGTGAACGTTATGTTACATTTATTGATAATATAATTATTAAGAGCTTAATGCAACTCAAGTTTTTTTTAAAATACTTCACATTAGGTGATGTTTGATAATGTATTCTAAATCTGAGTATAAAGTCAGCCATCATTTTTTGATACTGTTGTAAAGTTACATCTACAAATATATATAATTTGTTTTATTGATAAACTGGGTAGCTTTTTAGTGAAAAGTATTTACGGAGTATGTTTAAAAGAAATTAACCTTCACATATTAGGTTCCATTTCTTCAGAGCAAATTAGTTTACTTACTTGCTTATGTACATCAATTACGCTTCGTGAAGAGTAGGCCGCCCACCGGAATTATTCAGCCAACTCTGTCCAAGGCTACACTTTCCAGTTGTCTCCAATCGCTATACATTCTTTTGATTTTTCCCGCCGATTCCCGACTCAATATCTTTATTGGTTTTCCTCTTTTCCATCTCCCTTCAGGATTCCAAGTTAGCGCTCACTTCGTGACTCAGTTTGGTGATTTCCGTAATCTGTGTCCTGTCCACCTCCAACGTCCTTTCCTAATTTCCTCTTCAGTTGGAAGCTGGTTTGTTCAGTATCTTGCGTAGACAATTGTTTACAAATACTTGTGCTTTTTTGGTGACGGTTGTAGTAGTCTTGACGTTAGAATTGATGACTATGACTTTGATGTTGGTTGACAGTTGTTTTGTGTTCCAAATGTTTCTAAATTTAGGAATGCTTATCTCACTTTGATAATCGTTGCCTTTATGTCTGCATCAGATCCTCCTTGTTCATCGATTATACTGCCCAGGTAAGTGAAAGTTTCCACCTCTTCCAGAGTTCCTCCATCAATTGTGATTGGTTTTGTGTTCTCTGTGTTGTATTTGAGGATGTTGCTTTTTCTTTTGTGCATGTTGAGGCCTACTGATGCAGAAGCTGCTGCTACACTAGTTGTCTTCATCTGCATTTGTTGGTGTGTATGGGACAGGAGTGATAGGTCACATGTGAAGTCCAAATCGTCTAGTCGCATCCAAACTGTCCATTGTATTCCGTGCTTTGCCTCAGATGTCGAGGTCTTCATAATCCAGTCGACCACTCAAAGGAAAAGCAGAGACGAGGGTAAGCAGCCCTGTCTGACTCAGATCCTTACTTGGAATGCATCTGTCAGCCATCCCGCGTGTACGACTTTGCAGTGTAGTTCGTCATAGGTGCTCTGTATGATGGTGACGGCCTTCTTAGGTACACCACAGTGTTGATTAAGACTCCATAAGGTTATCCTATCGGCCCCGACAAATGCCTACTCATATTCCTTGAATTTGATCTATAGTGATGCGTTCCAGTCAACAATGATTCGTAGTGTCGCAATTTGGTCTGTGCACGACCGATCCCTACGGAATTCGGCCCGTCGATCTTGAAGTTGGGAGTCAGCAACACTCTGAAGAAACCTTTTCGTGGTACCAATAGTAGTGTGATTTCTCTGTAAGTCCCACATTTGATCAGATCTTCGTTCTTTAGTATCTACATGAGGTATCCTTCTTTCCAGTCTGTCGTTTTTGTTCTTCCTCCCAAATCTTCCAGAATAGAAGGTGGAGCATCACTGCAGTTATTTATATATCTGATTTCAAGTGCTTCAGCTGATTTTTCTGGTGGCCATCCTGATTTCTTCGATTGCTGGTTTCGTAATATACATAGAAATACCTGTAGATGCTGCTTCGATATTTAGTGAGTTCTGTAAGGCTGGTCTTCCTAAGATTTGATCGTTCAACAATGATCTGTAGTGTCGCGATTTCATCTGTGAACGATCGATTCTTACGGAATCCAAACTGTTGGTCTCGCAATTGGGCGTCTACTTAATCTTTTGTTAGGTTCGACAACAATTTCCTGGTACTGATGCCTCTGTAGTTCTCACACTTTCTGAGATCTTCGTTCATTCATATTTTGATATGATATTCTTCTTTTCAATCTGTTAGCACTTGTCTTTTTTCGTATATCTTTCTGAATAGAACGGGGATCATATTTGCAGTTACCTCTATGTCTGACTTCAGTGCTTCGGCTGGAGTGAGGGAAAACTCCAACCTCGTTCTCACTTTTCACCTTGCACCTGGCAACCGATCAAAATGAAGTGTGAATTACTATTTACAAAATCATAATCCATAGTGGAGGGCGTGTTTCGTTTTCTGTCATTTTTGCTATCTTACATGAAAAATGTGAAGTATTACATAACAAACATACCGCTCCATCATGCAAGAGACGTGTTAAGTGTTGTGCAGTAAGTCATTATGAAAGAAAGATTACGACACACCACAGAAGTCATACATCCAAATAATTTTATAAAAGAAATTACTCGGAGATGTCTATAACTGATTGGCTGGATAAACGATAACATAACTGTAATCACTGACTACGATACACTTAGTTGACTTTATTACGTGGATTTTATACCCAGCTGTTCAGTAACGTCTTCAAGAAGGTCTGTGAAAGCCTCTTTGACGTTCGATGGGTTCGGTGGAGTTGGTCTATTCGTGAGCGCTTCAAAGTGCTGTACCTGTCCATTCCACTGTTCTTGAATCTCAGTGGTTGGCATCCATTCTTTGTCCTTGGGTGATCGCTCTGGTTTTCTATATTCTCATATTTCCTTCTTTTGTGGAGTTTTCTGTTGTCATTGCTAGGTCTTCCACGTATTTCTGCTTGTCGGTTTTAATGCTACTCTTCATTCGACTATTTGCTTCTGTGCACTCGGTATGTGTCTTGACTTTCTCTAATCTTGTTCGACTGTTATTAATTGCCGTCTTTTTATTCTTCCTTTCTTGAATACTGCCCTGGATTTCGCTATAGATCCGTTCATTGTGATGATGCTTGCGGCCTAGCACCTCCTGACACGTTAAAGTTACTGTTTCTTTGATTACTTTCCAGTTATCCTTCATATTAGCTTTCTCTTCTTTAAGTAGATCTTGCAAGACTTGGAACATGTTGTTGAGAGTTATTCTGAATTCGTTGAGTTTGTCAGTATCTCAAAGGAAGACGCTATTAAATCATTGTAATGCTGTTTCTCCAGTTGTCCAGTGCCTTTTTAGCTTCATTTTCATCTGAAGCTCTTCTCCTGGTTCTAACTTCTTCCACTGACCTTCTGGATTTCTAAGTGATTTAATAATGATATTCTCATACCCAGGGTTGTCCACCTCGACTTTGGCGTTTAGGTTTTCCATCGGGAAGGTTAGGTTCTTTTCCGTGACACTTCTCTACAATCGACTGCAGCTTCATAAAACTGATCTTCATCGTCTTCGCTGCTATCATTAGTGGACGCACTGCACTGGATAAAATTCATTGCTTTATCTTTCTTTGTCTTGAAAGATTCTTTGATGATCTTGAATCCATGAGATTCCCATCCTATAAGTGCTTTTTGCTCTTCTCTGGACAACATCAGATCAACTCCCTGAGTGTGTGGAGCATTTACTTCTTTGTGACCAGAGTACAGTAGAAACTCTTATATCTAACTTTCTACCCATAAAGTGAAAAAAATTAGACAGAATTCTGTTAGTCTTTAATGTCAATCTCTGGCTCTGCCAACTTTTATAAATCTAATCGGCCATCCGTAACAGTGTGCTGTTAGTGAACGAAGACGAGATACCCAGAGAGATAATAACTTGCCATTTCAAATGCCTTTACATCTTTTACATAATGTATTAGTAGATTGTGATGTGATTGTTTACAATCGGACATATTCTTGTTTCACTCAATCATGAACCGATCACCGGTAGATCACCACTGAAAACCTGAAAACACTAGACCACTGTTTCGTTCTAGTATGTGCGTCCACATTCTCGCACATGGGACTGGGATCCAGCACCTTCGATCCCTCGCTGACCCTTAACCTCTAGGCATTTCTATCTTAGAATTAAATGAAAATCGTGATCATTTTATAGACGATCCCTTTAGTATTATGATATGGTGATTTTTTATTTTCATAAAGCACTTCTCTCATATGGACTACTTTCATATGTACTGATCACAAACATTCAATACTATTGACCATAACTCACCGGCTAATGACAATAATAATAACTTTTCTTGCCCCGAGTTGATGCAGCTATGCACTAAATATTAACATGCTATTTGAATTTCACAACCTCGTTCACTTATTGATCTGCACTTCAACAACAATCAACTCTTATTACATCGATGCTTTATCATTTGTAATTAAGACTTCTCTATTTTTGTAAATAAAAATAATATATTTGTAATATCCCAATGAGTAGAAAATGAGATTTTCTGACGTTTCGTGACTTAGTGTAAGTCACTTCTTCAGAGAATAAATAACCAAATTAAAATTAATCCAAGTTTAAATAGTACAACGGAACAATCCAAGAATAATATTGGATCAATCAAAAAAACAGGTCTGAACAAGTTGATGTCATGTCATTTCTGTCAAGATGATTCATAAGTGATATGTATGTAAATTTGTGTGTGTATGTAAGTGTGCATTGTTTAAGAATGAAAACTTGTGTGACCTTTATGGTAAGAAAGGATAGAGTTTAAATTTGTAATATGATAGTGTGAAATTGTAAATACGATGAGACTGAGTGGCTAGGATAGATGGTCCAAGTAGGATGTATGATGGGGCCTTCCTTTCTATTGAGAGAAGTAGGATTAAGAAGTATATTCTCTATTTTTGTATGTCGGTACATGTTGTCGATGCCTTCCATTGACAAGTGGAAAAATATTTTTCATTGATGTATAACTAAAAAAATATAGAGTAAAGGTATTTGAAGACAACTATCCATTTTAAATGTTTTTTTAACAGTATATATCTTTGTGTGTATTTTCAATGCATATCAAATGGCTGATACACCTCAGGAGTCGGATGAATAAATATATCATGTTCTGACCACCTCTAAGAGCAAAATTTACCAAAACAGTCATCTTTTCCAAGTGATAAATTTCGAAATACATGTTTCCGAGTAAAACAATACTACGTTAATACCAGTCATTCAGCTTATCTGTTCGAACTACTACAACAAGTGTAAATATTAAGAATGAATAAGTCAATTAATCAATAACCAACTTAATTTTAACAAAGCAAAATATAGAAAGTCATGTTCGTATTTTCATTTCAGGGTTACGGATATAATGGTGGGATTTTATTGTTCGACTTGTCAAAACTACGTTTGATGATGTGGAATGATATATGGTTGAGCATAACTGTACACTTGTTGCAAACTAAAGGATACCTAATCACAGGAGAGCAAGTGAGTCGAGACACACTACGAATACATGAAATTTTAAACACAATCAATGCCCAAATAAAGATATTTCCTTACCATGCAGATTAATTCTGTCAATTATCATAGATATAACTGTACGGATGTTCATTTCAATGTATTTTACATCATATGGTTCTTTTTAGATGATAATAAAACTATCCTGGCAATACGTTTTTGAGCCTTATTAATGAGTTATTCTTGCCTGTAAAGAACGTGTTTATTATGGAGAAACCAAATTATATCATTCTCAGAAATTCCCTTAAAATTGTTGGGGATTTTGTTATGAACACTTTTTCTGCTCCTTTTTCTCTTACAATATCAAAAATCACAAAGTTTACTTCTCAAATGACTACTATAAATAATCTGATATTGGTTTCTGAAGAATTCTCTCAACAAGTGGGCGATACTTCTTTGATTATAATTATGTTTCATGTCGCTCTAAATGTTATTAATCTTACAAACGAAAAACGGAATAGTACAATTTGAACCACCGATTTTAATCAGTAATGAATTGAGAGAAAGAACTCGATATTGCAAATATTTTACTGTATTAAAATCTGTCAAGAAGTTTAGTATCAATAATAACTCGGCACAATTTTAAAATTTCTAAGATTTTAACAATAACAAAGTTTAAGATTACGCTCGAACTAAAGAGTGTTGTATAAATTTGGTTCCATAATTAGTAATTCAGATCGATTCTTCATTGAATACTGCTCTCAATGTTCCTATTTAAGAACTGTTATACGAATATCAAATCAGAGTAAAACGATTGTTTGTACAGACCTGTAATGAAGTTAGTTTCTGTGTTTCGATTTGAACTTCTTCACATGTGTAATCTAAAATAATGTAATACAGATATTTCGATAATAAAATTTATTTACCTATGAAAATTTAGTGATATTAAGTTGTTTTCGCACTATCGTAGAGTAGTTTCTGTCTTTCTATAGTAATATCCGAATTCAAGTGTTATATTGATCAAATGAATTCTTAACTGCATAACCATTTACTAACTTAATATTTTCTCCAGTACATTAAGTAACATTTTGGAAGTTCTGAACAGAAATTCGATGATCATTCTTTGATTAGTTGAACCCGTGAGAGCATACCTTTATCGATTAATATTAAAAAAATTCATTTCATATGATATAACAAATAATTTTATTTATTACTCAGAAAGTAATAAACTTAACAATAATTTTTACACTTCGGTTTCACTTATCTGCATTTCAGGATGTAATGAATATGATCGTATTCAAATACAAAGATCTTCTGTATGAAATTCCTTGCGAATGGAATATTCAATTAAGTGCCGGGTCAGAACCTGAAAGATGTCCGGTTAGTTGGTTAAGTCATGCGGAATTGAAAAAACGCAATTATTATACAATTAATAAACAACCAAAAATTATCCATATCAATCATCATATAAAACCGGAAGATAAATATTTTCCAAAACCTGTATCTATCAACAAAATTGACCGATCGGATGTTATACTTAAACGTAAGTGAGAGTAGATCTTTAGTAAAGTATCTAATAATTCATGGGGTTAGATAAAACTCAAAAAGGGTAAAAGCGTACTAAAATCACTTGGAGCGATGAAAATCTCCGTCAAAATTAAGCTTGCTTTGAAAGGATGGCTAGTATCAATGTATTCAATGACACATTTGTAAAGAAAAACCTTCCACTATAGAATTTTCAAACAGGATCTTGTTAAAAACTTGTCACATTTTTAACTTTAAGGGCTATATATATAACAACCCTCTCCAAGCATGTGCTCCACAACAAGCGTCAGTCTTCTATGCAGCCTCTCCATCAATGGCTGACAGCCATGTGATTTAGTTCGGTCCAGAGTTGGCATGAATTGGGGAGTTGCCGTGTCAAAACATCTTTTTCCTTATGCTTAAGGTTAGTATTTGCAAGAAACAAGTGGTTATCTGAGCATAGCTGCAACAGACGGTTGCCGTTATCTGTTCTCTGTGCCGTAACACCATAACATCCACTCAGGTGTCTCTCCATTTCCCTTAGTTCAGCTAAGGAAATATGTTGTGGAATTTGGTTCAGTATTCGGGCGTTAAAAGCTACATCATGCAGTTTCCAGTGTAGCATCCATCAAGTAATCGCCGATAACATATATATATATATATATATATATATATATATATATATATATATATATATATATATATATATATATGTTATCGGCGATTACTTGATGGATGCTACACTGGAAACTGCATGATGTAGCTTTTAACGCCCGAATACTGAACCAAATTCCACAACATATTTCCTTAGCTGAACTAAGGGAAATGGAGAGACACCTGAGTGGATGTTATGGTGTTACGGCACAGAGAACAGATAACGGCAACCGTCTGTTGCAGCTATGCTCAGATAACCACTTGTTTCTTGCAAATACTAACCTTAAGCATAAGGAAAAAGATGTTTTGACACGGCAACTCCCCGATTCATGCCAACTCTGGACCGAACTAAATCACATGGCTGTCAGCCATTGATGGAGAGGCTGCATAGAAGACTGACGCTTGTTGTGGAGCACATGCTTGGATTCACATGATGCTCTAGTGCGAGCGCGTATTTGTATGCGTCTTACTGAACGTAGGAAAGATGTTGCAAGAAAGCCTGTTAGGGTTGTACTTAGTGATAGTCAAGCTAAGTATATATTTCAGGAAGAACTAGGAATACACTGATCACCATACATGACAGCAGTAGCATACTGTGAGCCCATGTTTTCTGTGAAATTCTAGGAACTTCGTAAGTAAAACCTATTTGCCGAATGAACACATTAGTGTTTTTGAAAGTTTTAAAGATATGTTCGTATAGATTCATAAGTACTGTCAGTAGTTTAACACGAATCTGAAAAACTAAGTAGATCCTAGATTTTAGAAAGGATGAATAATCCTTTTTAAGTCTTAAAAATGTTCACATTAGTTGTGCAAAGTACTAGTTCATCTAATTTAGCTTCTTTATGAATCCTTACTTAGCTAATATTTGAATATTGATATCATCGAATCACTGCCCACAGATGATGAAGCCACCAGAAGAGGGTTGTTATTATTGGACGTAGGGTTATAGATAAAAGAAATGAATCAAATGACGAAGGTTTGAACATATAAACGACATGATCGATGCTTACTCAAACGTGGTGTGTTAGCATAGAATTAGTCCTAGATACGGTTATGAATGGCTACATCAAGAAATGACATCTTTTTACAAAGTTAATTAATCTTGAACTGATCCGTGTTGAAAAGAAGCGGACTTCTTATTTGAGGTCTGAGAAATAATCACAACATGTAGTTTAATACTTCGGTTATCACATCGTAAAATGTGGCTAAAAAGGATTCAATGTTAATGCAGTTTCTTATATCTTGATTTTTAGTATTAACTCATACTTTTCCTTTATTCTGCTTATTTTGGAGCTACACTCTCTATGATTGTCACCAATGTCATTATTTTGTTTCATCTTTTAATATATCGGTTTATTCTCTTAACTCAATCATGTTTAAATCAATCAAGTGACTTTCTTCTATTAGTAATTCTTAAATATGTTCAGAAATACACAGATGTATTCTGCAAACTTTATTTCATTAGGTTCTTAAAGAATTAACATTTTAACAGTTACAGTAAATAAAAATTATACCAGCTGATGTCCATAAATGTTTAATTAACAGTAGTGTATAATAAATCCGAGAAATAGGAGCAACTGCAAAGATGCTCCTTGGTTTCTTCATAAAAAACTGGAAAGATAAACACAGATCAATCAACTGAAATGAGGGATACCAAGGAAGCGAGATTTTAAAAAGTCTGAAAACGACAGAAAAATTACACTTCCGTTAGTACTAGACACAGTTCTTGACAGGCTGTTATTGGCCTAAATGAGAGATTCTCTAGACACCCATGTAGCGACACTGCGGATCACTGTTGAACAATCACTTAAATGAAGCTCGTCACCATACATCAACTTCCCTGACTACGCGGAAGCATTCGACAGCACGGATAGGAGGACCCTGAGGGACATTCTTCGACATTACGGAGTACCTGAGATCGTCACCGTCATGCAGAGCTCCTACGAAGGGACAAATCGCAGTCTTGCATGCAGGAAATCTCACACATACATTCCAAGTGCTTACTCCCGTCTCATACCTTTCTTCTGGTTGTTGGCTGCATTATGAGGACCTCCGGTTCTCGTGAAGAGGATGGAATACAGTAAGATACTTTGGACGCAGCTGGACGATTTGGACTTTGAAGATCAATTAGCCATGTTACCACATGCACAACAATAAATGCACGCGGTTTATCAGCGTTGCGGCAACCTACGCAGAAAGACATTAAAATTCACAAGTGAGCAAGCAAGACTCTGAAATACAACAGTGAACATCAAACAAGTCCCATTCTGTGCAAAGCTCTGACAGAGGTGGAAGTGTTTGGTTGCCCACCTGGACAGCATCATCGATAAACATGGAGGACTTGGTGCAAATGTGAAGGCACGAATTGCCAAGCGAAGACGATATTCATACAAAAGAACTGTTACTCAACACCAAACTCGGGATTCTCAACGCAAACATTAAAACAGTCCTATTGTGTTGGGTTGAAACTTGAAAGACTACCAGCAACATCATCAGGTATTCATAACTAGTTGCGACTCAAGGTACTCCAGACACATTGGCTAGACTACTAGCAATAACCTACACTGGACAAGAACAAGTCAGCTGCCAGTTGAGGAGGAAATTAAGAAAAGAAGCTGGAGATGGATAAGACACTGTACGAAAATTATTGAACTGAATCACGGTTCCAAGCCTTAACATGATACTCTCAAAGCGAAAAGAAAAGAAGGAAACTAAAACACACATGAAGTTGAGAATCGAAGAAAGATGTCAAGACCACCAATAGTACTTGGCAACAACTCTGAAGGACAACTCAAGATTGAATTGGTTGGAGATCTCCTGTCAGTGGCCTATGACTCAAGAAGGATAATACGCGCACGTAAGGCGCACTAAGTAAAAGAATCTTCACGTCCATGTATCAGCATTTCAATTGTGATTTTCATACTGAGACTGCAAATAAATACCTTTTACTTCAAACACTTAGCACATCATCCACTGGTCTACTGATTATAGATGGCCAACAGCTTGTACAGCAGGTAGAGCATATGTTTAATTTATACTGGTATGAATATTTTCTGTGTTGACGTTAGGGATTACAAGTGCTTTTTATCTTTATTAGTTTTGGCTCATATAACTCACTTTTCACGTGTTTACTATTCTGTTTTATTATTGATAGGACATGAAATGTACTACAGACTCAGTTCGGTATATTACAAATTTCGTGCACTTAAACGTGAGTGTTTTCAATAATTTCAGTGTTTACCTACCTTTCAGCACTTCGATTGGCAGACCTATTCATGATCCCTGATTTGAATCAACAGATCTGAGAATTAAATAATGGATGTAAATAAACACGTAAATCATAAATAATTGGATTTATTATAAACGGTCTTTTTAATTTCATATATTTCTTTTGACATTTCATATGAAACACCCCTTTACTTCTGCTACGTATTAGAGGGAACGAGAAAATATCGACTTTTACGTTGAAATCGAAAAAATATCGACCACTGTACTTGAACTCAGTAACACAATGAAGTTAACATTGACACGGTACTAGGCAACTAATAAGTTAATTTCTACATGGTGTTGTATGAAATCTCCTTTGAAAAATTTTACATTAGCGCACTAAATTTGTCCATTATTTCCTAGTTTTCATTGGTTCCTTTTTGCTGATACCAGTTTATGATGAAAATTATCTTTAAGGCGAACAGATTTTGGCAGTCATTACATGATAAACATACTACTGAGAAAATTCAATATTTCTGCGTCGATATGACTTAATACAGTTTACTACGAAAGTGATAATCTCATAGTACCATATTTAGACTGCCGAAAATCAAATGTAACTTAATTATTTAACCGGAACATTTTACAGTCAGACTAAGTAATATCTATAAAACAAGTTAAGTGATGCAGAGACTGGAAGCACCTTTATCAACACTCCAAAAGTAACAAATAACCATTCCGATTAATGTAAAAAAGACTAAAGCCTGTTTGATGAAAAAGTTCTGAATGACGAATCCCATAATAGCGCTGATGAAGACCTTATGAAATGTTTTAAGATGATAGACTAAGATAGAGAAATCTCAAATTGCGTGCAGTACTGATGAGTCACTCACACCCTGATGTTTTATACACTCTGTAGTATCGAATGAAACTATACCTAACTATGATAATTAGAAGCCCAGAAATAGAGTAATCGGATCATGAGGTACCAGATAAGCACGAACGAATGTACTGTATTTATAATTCGAAATCAAGCATTCAACAAGTACAAAGGGATCATTAGTTCATTCAAACACCATACTAACTCTGCATCATTGACAGCTAGTGAGCATATATCATAACGACAATCTCTGCCGGATGAGATGTTTGTCAGTTACTA